CAAAATCATATCAACAAATGGGAAAACTAACTCAAGTGGCAGTTCTCAAAGTCAAAACAATAAAAGGTCTACAAATACTTGAATATACAAATGAAAACTGCTTCCAGATTCCATCTCACCCCAGTCATAATGGTTGTCATAAAAAAAAAAAAAAGGTGCCAACAACTACTGGCCAGGGTGTGGAAACAGGACCCATTACAGACTGTTGCTGGGAATGTAAACTGGCATGGTCACTGTGTGAAACTCAATATGGAGGGTCTTCAAAAAGCTAAAAAATAAACTGGGCATAGTGGCTCATACCCATAATTCTAGCACCTGGGAAACTGAGGTAGGAGAATCACTCCTAGTTCAAGGCTACGCTGGACTACACAGTGAGAATAAGGTGAGGAATAAAGCCCTAAAAATAGAATTACCGTATCATCCACCCCTGGGTATGTACCAGAAGGATTCTTAGCCTGCACACCACAGAGACACTTGCACTTGCACTATTGCTGTACTGTTCACAACAGCAAAGGTACGGAGTCAACCTAGAGGACCATCAACAGGTGACCAGATAAGAAAATGTAGTGTACACAATGGAACTATATTCAACTCTAAGAAAAAGAGAAATTTGCAGGAAAATGGGTGAAACCCGGTATCATCATCATGTTAGAAGAAACACACCAGACTTAGAAAGATTTCTCCCATATGTGATATCTACATTTTAATTTATATAGATATACATATATATGTATACACACCACATATATGACATAAAAGTAGAAAAGGAACTCTGAGATGAGAGGAAGGAGTCTAAAAGGAGGAAGGGGAACAAGAGGGGACACATGGAAGTAGGAGGGGCAAAAAAGAACAATATAATGAAATGTATGAAAAAAATGTCACAACAAAACCTTCTTTATAATGATAACAAATTAAAAAGGAAAACTTAAAAGTTGCTTCCATTTATACTTTTATTAACAGTAAATGAGTGCCAATCCCCATACACCTCTGAAAACACTAAAAAATAAGAATAACTTTCTTGCTAATCCGACAGGAAAAATGATGCTTTAATTTTACACCGTTTTATTACTGGCTGAAAATCTGAGCTCATCGTGTCAGCTCTTTCCCTCAATTCTTTAAACTACAAACCGGGGGGTTTCGTCTCATTTTTTTGGTGGGAGCTTTTCTCTAATGATGCCTTTATTTGTAGACCTCCTTCCCATACCTTTTTCAATGCAATCTCTTTTCTTTTCTTTTCTTTTCCTTCCTTCCTTCCTTCCTTTTTTCTAGCACAGGGTGCATCCTCAGGTCTTTTTACCTTTTAAGACAGGTTCTTATTAAGTTAGGCTAGCCTTAAATTCAGTCTGTAGCCCAGGTTAGCCTTGACCACATGCTTCCCTTGCTTCACATGCCCAAGTACTTGCCCAACCTGTGCTCCCTCTTCTGGTCCCAAACGACAGATTTTCTTTATCTTTGTCCAACAAAATCCTATTTTGGAGAACTACAAATCCTTTGAGTTTGGCATCTGTAGCCATAGATACTCTGCTTATCCCCTTCCTAGACGCTGCATCCTACTGCCCTTCCTTACATACTCTGGGAATGCTGGGAAAACTAAGTCTGTCCATGCTATCAGGTTGACAGCCTTTTCTCCAGTCTCCTGCCACACCTCTTCATCGTTCAGGGCCTCCTGCAATCTTTCATCACTTCAAAACAGTTCTCCAACATGGGAAACAAAGCCCTAGAGAGGAGAGTTATGAAGCAGGATCATTTTTACTCATTGAAAAAAATATGCTGGGCACTTTAAAAAACAAATAAATCCTTTCTGTGTATCCCAGGCTGGCCTCTAGGGTGGGAACCTACTGGGAACACAGGCCTGTATCACCACTCTTGGCTTATTTTTTTCTCATTTTTATTTTATTATTATTTATTATTTTTGTTTGTTTGCTTTCGATACAGGGTTTCTTTGTGTAATCCCGGCTGACCTAGAATGAACTCTGTACATCAAGCTGGCCTCAAACTCAGAGATCCGCCTGCCTCTGCCTCCCAAGTGCTGGAATTAAAGGCGTGCACCACCAACTGCCCAGCTTTTTAAAGATTGACTTTTAAACTTTTGTTTGTGTCTGCCATATAGGTCTTTTAAGCAAAAATTTTTATTATATTAGATTTATCTCCTTTATGTGTATGAATGTTTTACCTGCATGTATGTAAGTGTACCAGTTCTCTACAAGAGCTCTAAACAGGGTTCTAAACCACTGAGCCATCTCTTAGCCCCTCCTCCCATGTGATAATCATAATCCTGCCATTTCCCAGGTTGTATGGCTTTAGATAAGTTGTCCTCTGTGCCTCAGTTTCTTTCTGTGTTAAAATGAAGTAATCAATCACTGATTCAGTTAGGAAACTTTTGTTCTTGAGCTGGGGATTGAACCCAGGGCCTCATGCGCAACTGATTTTGGCTTTTATCTGCAGTTGTGGGAAAGTTATTATGGAAATTTGACTGTAATTGGCCCCGTAAGCTCCTAAGGAATGGCACTATTAGAAGTTGCAGTCTTGTTGGAAGTGTGTCACTGTGGAGTCAGGCTTTGAGGTCTTATATATATGCTCAAGCCATGCCCAGTGTCTCAGTTCACTTCCTGTTGTCAGCATATCAAGATGTAAAACTCTCAACTCCTTCTCCCAGCACATCTGCCTGCATGCTGCCATGTCCCACCTTGATGAAAAGGGACTGAACCTCTGAACTGTAAGCTACTCCATTAAACGTGTTCCTTTATAAGGGCTGCTGTGGTCATGGTGTCTCTTCACAGCAATAGAAACCCTAAGACAGTGATCTTCTGATAACATGGGCGTTTATTTCACACTTACACACGTCCACTGTTGTGTTCCACATGAGCACTGTGTCCTGAAATGGAATACATTTTCTTTCTTCAAGGAGCTTGTAGTAACAAACAAGGAAGGAGATACGGCACTTTCCTTTTAGAAAAACAAAACTCACAAGGTAGCTGGACATGGTGACATCTACAGATAACTTCCTGCACTTAGAAGGTGGAGGCAGGCAGATAAGGAGTTCAAAGTCTGCTTGGATTACCTGAGACTGTGCCTCAAAAAACAGCGGCACAAGATATGAATAGTATATAATGTGCTTTATTCACAGAAATGATAAAAGCAAACATGCATCTTTCTGAGGCATATTTTATTTTTTGTTTGAGACAAGGTCTTACTTTGTAACTCACGATTAGTTGGGAGTTCACTATGTAGCCCAGACTAACCTCAAACTTACAAAAATCCTCCTGCCTCAACCTTTCAAGTGCTGGAATTACAGATGAGAGCCACCAGGCCTAGCTTGAGGGTTACTTTATATTATGTATTTGCTCCTTAGGAGGCACTGGAGGTGTTCAAAGTTTTAAAACGAGGTGCTGGAGCTAAAGTCACTCATGCAGAGGACTTAGTTCGGTTCCCAGCACTCACATTGGGTGGCTTACAACAGCCTGTAACTTCAGCTCTGGGGGACTGTGACACCCTCTTCTGGCCTCTGCAGGTACTCAATGTCTCCTCTTTTAGATAAGACTCTGGAAGAATTTAAATGGAAAAAAATTAATTTGTGTGTGTGGAAAAAAACCAACTATGGTCCTTCGGTGGACATATTTTACATTTATTTCTTACACAAATCCTTAAATAACTTTCTAGTGGTCTTAACCTTACTAACACTACCCACACCTGAAAGACAGTTCCAGCTTTCCTGCCACTGAGGGAGAAAGAGCCATCAGAGGAAAGAAAAGAAATCAGGTTCTTGTTTAGGAATGGGATGATCAGTGCACACTCTGGGACTGTAAACTGCTGGTGTATCTGTGATGTCTAGGCAATGAAAGTCAATCCCTTTCACCCATTTCTCAAAGTGGACTCCAAAGAAATGAGGACCCTTACCCAGAGGAACACATGCGCTCCTAAAATACTACCAACAAACTTAAAATGTTCAAACGTTTTTATCTGAATCTTCACATTTAAAACAGAATCCCTTTCCTATATCACTCTGGGCTAGAAATAATAAAACTTGGTCTGTGCAATGCAAACTTGGTCTGTGGTGGTCTAGGACTTAGCTGCTGCTTCCACTCCTCCCGCCGTCTTCTCTCGTGTCCCCACTCCGATGTTCACAGGAGGCCAGTACTGGCTTTAAACACCAATGGCCAAAGCTTGCAGAGCTCTGATCTTTGCCATCCTTTTTTTTTCCTTTCCTTTCTTCTTTTTTTTTTTTAAAAGAAACCCCAAATTACAACAAAAGAAGGAAGTCAAGAGATCAGCACTTTCAAAACTATATCTCGAAGTACTAGCTTAAAAGCTCTCTCCTCTACCAGCGTTTTGAAGTGATGGATGTCCAGCAACTGCTGCAACAACATAAAAGTGACCACGAAAAGAATAGGTCAGATGTCATCTTCCTCTATTCAGAAGTAATGGAGGGATAATGCTGCAGACCAAGGTTCCCAAGGATAGACTGGGGGTGGGGGGGAGGATGAACATCGGGAAGCAAAACCAATGACCAATGACAACCTAGCATTGGGGCTCTGTATCCATGAGAAACACCTGAGATGGGGAAGATCTTGCAATAAATAGCCCTAACAGAAATCTCGCGTGGCCAGGAATACACGACCACCAATCCAAGCGCCCGCATCTCCCTCCACTGCCTCTCTCCCGCCCCCCGCCTAGCAACAGAAGCACTGCGGCAGTGCAGAAGTGGGGGAGACGGGCGAGACAGAGGACGGACGTGGCTTGTGGGGTTCAAACTACGGTCTGATACCCGCTACCACCACCAAAAACATTATCTGTCTCAGGCATGTCACGACGCGGTGCCTCAGTTTCCCCGGCTGTCAAAATCAAATAAGGCAACGAGTGTAACAGCCTCAACCACAGGGCCACCGAGGAACCTCCCCCTTGCTATAAAGGCAAGTTGGCAGGAGAGTTGTGGGATCCGGGGCTGCCGCCCACCTCGAGCATTCCCCGCCAGCAAGAAGCTGAGCCCCTACACGACGCACCTTGTTGTTGTACTCCTCCACGAAGCTGCCCAGCGCCAGGCGAAAGCGCTTGTCGGGCCGCACGCTCCAGTTCATGGCGTAGACAGTCCAGGGCGCTTCATATTTGTAGATCTCCTTCCGTTTGCCGTGCAGGGACATGGTGGCGGCTGGGCCGCGGAGCCGGCCGGAGAGGCGGCGGGCTGGGGCAGGAGACGGGCGGGGAGCCCGGCTTGGGTCAGCGGGTCCGAGAGGAGGCGGGACCGGGGCGCTCAGGAACGGCCTAGCCCTCCAGCGGGTCCTCTGCTACACACACACACCGCCTGGCCCGACCACCAGTTTCAAACAAGCTCCGGCAGCGACCACCACCTTCCGTTTGGGAAGCTGGCCCGCCCTCTCGGAACGGAAGCCACGCGATTGCGTAGCGACGACGAGCGTTGGCTGCCGGGTACGTCCTTTCCAAACTGTTCTTTCTTCTTATTGGTCAACACAGCCCTAGCAACCCGCATCTTCCTCACTATTGGCGGAAATGTTTGTCATTCTACTCATTCGCTCCCCCCAACTCCTGGAGGCGGGCTCTTTTAAAGTCCCAAAGATCATTGGCTAACCGAGGTGTCAGTCAGACGGATAACGGCGCAGTGCGGGTGGATGGGGGCGTGGGTGGCCTGGGGGCAAGTGTGCCCTTCTGCGCGCCTTCAAGTTCTAGGCCAAGGGTCATAAGAGTGAAAAGCCTGTCTCTTTTTCACTGCTGCTGCTTTTCTGAATGCCTCTCTCCGATGCAAGTAACGTGTCAAATCTACCTTAATGGAGGACTCCTACGTTTATTGCATGGCACTAAGCCCGGCTGTCCCGCAGCCTGTGTCAAACGGGAATTCTCTCCAGGCCTAAGGACACTCTTAACTGCTCTCTTACAGGCCCGAGAGAGACATTCAGGATGAGGTCAGCTTGATCGAGGCTTTCCTGCGCTGTCCTAAAGACACTAGAACGTCTCCCGAATTCTGCGGCTAATCTCCTTCCTCACTCTGGTAGTGTTCAAAAGCCAAATGCCAACCCAATCTTAAAAGTCTATTATGTGCCATGAGTTTGAAATGCAAAAAAGCCTGGATCTAGATACATCTTTATACATTTAAATGCGTTCAATGATATTGAAAGACGTTGTATTGAATTGTTAGGCAATAGAATAAAACACAATTTAAAAATGTTTGTGTATTTGTGTGTGCCCAAGTGTTTGTAAGTGTACCACATGTGTACAGGTGCCCACGAAGGTCAGAAGAGGCAGAGTTACAGATGGTTGTGAGACACCATGTGAGAGCCTGGAATCCAACCCAGGTCCTCTCCAAGAGCAGCCGGCGGTCTCCAGGGTTGTACCATCTCTCTGGCCCACGAAGTACAATAATTAAGGAATGTGATTTTAACACAAACACTGGAATCCTTGAGGGTCAATGGTATACATTTAGCAATTACCTTTGGTCATGTCCACATGTGTGAGCAAGTATATTGTGCACACTTTTATTTGTTTATTTTTGGTTTTTTGAGACAGGGTTTCACTGTGTAGCATGGACTGTCCCAGAACTTGCTCTGTAGACCAGACTGGCCTTTAAACTCAGAGATCTGCCTGCCCCTGCCTCCAGAGTACTGGGGATTAAAGGTGTGCGCCACCACCATCCAGCAACAACAAAATAATACTTATCAAGAAATTTGGGAACCGGGCGGTGGTGTCACACGCCTTTAATCCCAGCACTGGGGAGGCAGAGGCAGGCGGATCTCTGTGAGTTCAAGGCCAGGTTGGACCGACAGCCTCCAAAACAATACAGAGAAACCCTGTCTCGTAAAACCAAAAAAAAAAAAAAAAAGGAAATTTGGTTCAGGCCAGGTGTTGGTGGTGCACGCCTTTAATCCCAGCACTGGGGAGGCAGAGGCAGGCGGATCACTGTGAGTTCGAGGACAGCCTGATCTCCAGAGCGAGTTCCAGGACAGCCTCCAAAACAATACAGAGAAACCCTATCTCGAAAAACCAAAAAAAAAAAAAAAAAAAAAAAGAAAGAAAGAAAGAAAGAAAGAAGTTTGGTTCATAGTTTTGTGTTGGTTCCATCATTTCTGATTTTGCAGAGTGTTAATAATGACTGTGTAGGATGAACTTAGTAGGGTCATTCCTTTCTATTTTATGAGACTCCAGAATCACCTCGAGACAAGTTTCAGTGCTTGTGAGGCACTATGTAGATTAGGTTCACCAAAGGAAGACTCACCTTAACTGTGGGTGATCCCGTTCTATGGGTAGGCTTCCAGACGTAAGAAGAAGGAGCAAGCTCTGTGGGCAGCCATCCCTTTTTGCTTTCTAACCACACACGTGGAATGTGATCATTTGCATGACAGACTGGCTTCCATTCTTTGACTACCAGTCTGTAGGTATCTTTGCCAGTGAAGTGTGTCTTCTGGAGACAACTGATCGTTGGAACTTGGCTTTTAACTCTTTGTTGGTGAGTTCAGGCTATTTACAGTTAAGATTATTAATGAGAGTTACTTGCTGACATCTGCAATTGCAATGGTCTTTTTTCTGGGTGGTTGGATTATCTTGTTATGTTGTTCTGGTTCCTGGCCTCACAGCTGTTCTGTCTCAGCTTCTCAGGTGCTGGCTTGACAGGCATGAACTACTTCTCTTTAATTTGTATGCAGGGGATGTGTGTAAGGAGGTATACACATGTGTGCATCTGCACATATATACCTATGCTGGAGGACAAGCTTAGGTGCTGTTCCTCAGGAATGCCACCCATCTCTTTTGAAACAGGGTCTCTCATTAGTCTGGAATTCACCAGTTAGGTTAGAATGGCTGGCCAGCAAATCCCAGGGATCCTCCTGTCTCAGTACCAGGATTACAAATGTTGTATACCATTACTGTAGGAATTTTCTTTCTTTTTTTTTTTTTGGTTTTTTTGAGACAGGGTTTTTCTGTAGCTTTGGAGCCTGTCTTAGAATTCACTCTGTAGACCAGGCTGGCCTCAAACTCACAGAGATCCGCCTGTCTCTGCCTCCCAAGTGCTGGGAGTAAAGGTGTGCACCACCACAGCCTGGCACTGCAGGGATTTTCTTATGAGGGTTTGGGAAACACAGTTCGGGTCCTCATGCATCTTACTCACTGAGCCATCTCCCTAGCCCCCATATGTAGTTTTGAACTAGTGTTAAAGTCTTACTAAGGGTACAAAAAGTTAACTTTAAGATCTCAGTTTGTGTTTTTAAAGGTTTCTCAGGTGAGATAGTCTGGGTTGAAATCATGTTCTCCTTTTTCTAGTGTAGAAAGCTTGACTTTTTATTGAAATACAATTCACATAAGGGAGTGCACATGTTTTTCTAACCAGAACAGATCCATGTGCCCATAACAGATCAGAAAGCAGAGCAGTACTGGTACTGACATGTCCAGAAGGCCACCCACACTCTGGTAAGAGCCTTGGTCTCCCTCTACCAACCCAAGATCTCTCCTGTGGGACAGTAATGCCCACTCCCTGAGGTTGTCTTGAAGGTTAGGTAAACCACTCTCTGCAGGGCAGTCGGGATGGTGGAGTGCTGAACTCACAGTGACTATCACCATGAATCTCTACAGACACTTGGGCCATATCTCTGTTTCCTTCATCTGGAGACAGCGTGAGACTGTGGGGCTCCTGGGCTCAGCTGAGACAGCCTCAGATCTCCAATAGGCTGGATGTGAGAAGGGCTTGGCATGGCCTCATGATGCTCAGATGGGTTACACATCTAGCCCAACATGAAATGGTCAAGACTTTATTAGCTGTGTGACACTGCATGCCCCCCAAGGGACCCAGACGCTGTCATGGAACTCTCAGGGGGTAGAGGGGATGGGGGACTAGAGCTTTTAGGTCCACCATAGAGGATACCTCTAACTCCAGCCACTTTAGAGGCTTTTGATGAAAGGTCTGGTTTACTCTGGCCTTGGTTCTGGACTTTTGAGGCAGAGGATGACTCTGAGCTAGGAGGTGATCACATGCAGCCCCAAGCAAGACTCAAGATCAGAAACCTCCCTGCTGCACTGACACTTTGAAGCAGCCCTCTGCCTGGATTGCTGGTTCCATGGAACCCCAAGGGGGCTGGGCCAAGTCCCGAGCCTCTTGGCTCAAGCCATCCTCACCTGGCTCAGCAGTCTGTAGTTTCTCTGAGAAAATGGTTTTCGGAGTTTCAGGCAAGGGGCTGTCTGGCTCCCCCAAGAGGCTTAACTCTCACCTCACTGTATTCTCGCCCTCATGTTGGCTTTTATCTCGGGATCCAATGGCTCTAACTCCTTGTGCAGCCAGGATCCGAACTGTGTCTCTGAAACTCCGGCTGCCTGGGAACAGAGCTGAGGTGTTCAGGAAGGGAGGAAAAGTGGGGACCACTGATGAGTCCCTGTACTTCCAGGGGACGGAGAGATGAGGCCAGGGGTGACAGGAACCCCTTAGGCTGTTCTTGTTCTGAGGATGATACAAGGGTTTGATCTATTGCCACAGCCAAGTGATGCATCCTGGGGGAGAAGTCCCTGGGCTTCTGGATATGTTTGTCCAAGTCACCATAGCTTAGGGCCTAGGAAAAAAGGAGGAGGAGAACTGTGTATGGAGCCCAACCCCCACCTCCAGGTCGGGCTAGATATTTCTTCATTTTGTGCATGAGTGTGTGTGTATGTGTGTGTGTGTGTATGCCTGCATATATACATATATATGCATATATATGAGTGTTGAGAATACATACGTGAGTTATGGGTGTTTATGAGTGTGCATGTGTGTGTGTATGTGTATGTGTGTATGCCTGCATATATACATATATATGCATATATATGAGTGTTGAGAATACATATGTGAGTTATGGGTGTTTATGAGTGTGCATGTGTGTGTGTGTATTTGTGTGTATTTGTGTGTGCAGTGCATGAGTACATAAATGCTCAGAGGTCAGTCTCAGATGTTGTTTCTCAGGAGATGTCCGCCTTGCCCTTTGTGAAAAGGTCTCTCACAAGGTCCTGGGGCTTGTCAACTATGTTTAACTGGCTGGATAGTGAACCCTAGGGATCCACTTATCTTTACCTTCCCAGCCTTGGAATTATATGTGTATACTATCACATCCAGCTTTTTACATGGGTGGTGGGGATCGAACTTGGGTCCTCATACTTTCATGGTAAGAACTTTCCCAACTGAGCCATCTCTCCAGCCTCTAAGCTGGATATTGATCCACTTTCACCTCTGGGATGTGAACCGGCAAGAACTCTCTACCTGCTCCTCCTAGGGAGATGGGGGAACCCCAGGGTCTTGCTGTCCCTGTCTGAGCTGTGGGGTCTGTGATCCCAGTCGGGGCTTTGCCAGCATCCTGTCCAGCTGCCCCATCAGGTGATGTAAACCACAAAAAGGGCAGCAGGAGATACAGCTTCAAATCCTACTACAGACACACTGA